AATAGTCTTGCCCATCTGGCCTCTCTTTGGTCTGCACCCTGTGCTCTAAGAATTTTAGAGAACACATCTCCCTCAACAGTCTGCCCAGATGACAGGATGACAGCACAGACGACGAGACTTTGAAAGCGGATGGTCCCCTCCCTGAGGACTCAAAATTACATCAGAAATAGCTGGAAGTGAATCTTCTCCAGGGCTGGGCTGGGGACAGAAGAGGACAGGGTTCCTACAGCCACAGGAGCAATTAACTGCAGGAGAAAGCCAGCTGCAAACATGAGTGCAGAGTGCCCTCTGTTGGTCATCTTTGGTCCTGATTTTCTTTTTCTTTTTTTTTTTTTTTTTTTTCAGAACTGGGAATTGAACTCAGGCCCTTATGCTTGCCAGGGAAGCGCTTATTCCACTGAGCCATCTCCCCAGCCTGTTGGTCATCTTTGGAAAAGCAACTGGGGAGCTCACAGCTTCTCTAGAAGGTGCGCGTCTGTGGCCTAGAGCACGTTCCAGTTCCACCGTGAGAGACCTAACTCCAAAGTTCACAGACACGCACACCCACACAGGTCTGAGCGAGCGACACGGCTTCCCAGTGGTTGAGGGGGCAGTTCTGGGTCAGGACCATCCTCCCCAAAAAAGTATTGCTTGTCTGTGTCCTTCAAGGTCCCCACCTTATCACCATCACACACCACTCCCTGGACCAATCCTGACCAGCCTCCTCATGAGGTCACACACCAGAGCCAAGTTCCAGTCCCCACTCATACCTTCACACATGAGTGAATGTCCCCTTCAGATTCCTTCTTTGCAGCAATTCTGAGAGCTGCCATTTGCTGCAAGCCCATACGCTGCCAGAAACATGGTCCTGGTGACCACACGAGGAGGCTGGGGGACTCCATCTGCTCCCTGAATGAGGGCCGAAGTGCATGATGCACGGGGCCCCCAGATTCTCCACCACTGGCTACGGGAGGCCTCTGACCCATTCGCAATCTCCCTCTCTCCCTGATGCAGTTGGGGTTCTTTAGACAGACAGGGAAAAGGCGTGCCAGGCAGGCAGGAGAGAGGTGCCTCGGGCAGACAGAATGGAAGGATGGATTAGTGCAGTACAGAAGACAGGTTTGAGGGCACCGTGAGGCCAGGCTGAGCTGCAGTCTTCCAGGGGCATAAACTGGATAGCCAGACTTCTTTTGCTTATTTGTTTGGTACTGGCCAGGATCCTGCGCCTGCCAAGTCGTAGACACTTATACCGCTGAGTTACTTCCCCAGAGCTCTCCAGACTCTTTTGAAAGACTTTTATGGTTGGCTGGTGGACTTCAAATCTCTGCATTCAAGAAAACACAAGTCTTTAGAACTGCAGGTATTAGCATTTGCTTAGAAAACTCTCCAATCTGAAGATAAGGATGAGGGAGGGTCTGTCACCACCGAAGGGTCATCAGCTCTTGAATAGAAGAGGCTAAACTCAAGGCCAAGTCGGTCTCACCCCTTTCAGGCAGGAGAGGTACAGGGTTATAGCCTGAGGGTCAGGTGAAGGGTGGGTGTGACCCAGGCTGCAAATACCATGCCTTGCCTGAGGAGCTGCTCCTTGTGGGTGGTGACACGTTAATGGTTCCTTCCTTCCCCTTCCTTTCTTTAATCACAGAGCTCCCTCTGTTATTAGGACCTGGTTACTGCCCAGTTTTCATTGCTGGCTTCCTCCCAGTCTCTGGCCCCATCCCTGTCCAGGTAACTGCACTGTTCTCTGCACACAGCCAGCACTGACCTGTCCTCCCCCAGGGTGGTGGCGGTGGCGGTGGC